ACCTCCAGTAGATGTGGTAAAATGCTGAGGCCAAGAAGAGCCAATGAGCCATTCAAGACCTTTATTACTGATGAGATAACTGAGCACCACTCACTTCTCACATGTGTACTCTACATATACATATACATGTATGCTTAGCATAATTAATCCTAAGGTAGACTGGTAGATTCAACAAGCAGAGCCAAGCACTTTGGCAAAGTAAAAACTACCCTTCTTTTACAAGTTAATGGAGGGCCCACAAACCCAGATCTGCACACATCCCATATGCTAGCCCATTAGTGGACAGAGAACTAAAATAATGGACAATGAGTTGAGACCCAGACAATAGAAAATTTCAATGAAAGAAACATATTCCATGTTAGGGCATAAAGGCCTGGGTGTGCAAGAGCTTATTCACTAACCCCCAAGAGACAGAATCTTCTCCAGCAAGTGTGCAAGACAACATCTTAACTGCTACAACCATGAGAGTTGCATAGAGCTGTGGTCACCAGCCAGCAGCAACAGGGAATTTAAGATTCCCCCACACACAAGAAGGGAGATGTGTGGGTCACCTCCCCAAGATGCTCCTAGGTGATGACAGCCAAAGGACTGCCACAGCATGGCTCAGAATTCTCAGTCCATTCCTACTGGCCCTAGCCTGTTTACAGGCCTGTGAATTCCCATAGAAGTGGATTGCAGCCATGTCTGAAATTCATCAGGGGAGAAGCAGAAAGATCTGCTCCCAACAGCAGCTCTTCTGTCTGTTGCACAGAAGGAAGAAGCTCATCACAGGGTGTACAAAAGTATGGAAGACTGTTGCCTCAGCAGAGCCAAAGGTCTGGTGCTTCAGGGAATAAGAAGTATTTCTGGAGAAGAACTCTTGGGGTTGTGTGAGACTCACTCAGAAGACATCTGGGATGACTTCCATGTCCTGCTCATGGGAAAATTAAAGAGAACTTGCCAGCAAGATAAATGATAATAAATCATTATCATCATTATTTTTAAAGGTTAATTAACGCAAGGAACTAAAGACTGCACTAAAACCACAGAAAGTAAAAACGATTTGAAAATCATGTTAAAAATTAAAATACAAAAGCAACCAGATCAGTAAACTTCAGGAAGAATGCAAACATTTTAGTTCTGATGTGTCTTAGTCACTATTCTATTGTTGTGAAGTGATGTCATAACCAACTTATTATTATATGTAACTTATAAAAGAAAGCATATAATTGGGACCTTGCTTACAGCTTCAGAGGCTGAGTCCATGACCATCATGTCAGGAAGTATGGAAGCAGGCAGGCAAGGCACTGGAGCAGTAGCTGAGAGATTACATCTGATCCACCAGCAGGAGGCCGAGAGATGGAGACTGGGCCTTTTGTGGGCTTTTGAAACATCAAACTCCCAGTGGCACACCTCCTCCAATAAGGCCACACCTCCTCATCCTTCCTAAACAGTTCTGCCAACTAGGAACCCAACATTCAAATACATGAGCATATGGAGGCCATTCTTATTCAAAACATCACAAGATGCACACACACCTTCCTCAGAAGCCACCCAGATCAACTAGAAGATGCCTCATGCCTCAAGTCATGTTTAACTTTTTACAAAAAAAAAAAAAAAAGAAACTACATAATTTCTAAGATGCTGAAAACTTCAGAAGAGAGCTGGATACTGCTATAAAGTACCATTTTAATCTTTCTTTTTTATTCCCTTTTAATGGGTGGAATTCGGGAAGTTGGAGGATAGATAGATGAGATGAATGTTATGATAAAGCACATGTAGTTTTATTCTCTCTATATTATAAAGCAGTAGTCGGACCATTTTTTAAGATGTCAGGCTACACTTGCTTTCCCTTGTGATAATAAATTGGTCATAATTCAATAACATGACTTGCCCCTGGAAGTAACTGCTCATAATTTTGAAATATTAAGATCTTGTCAAGCTTCTGATGATTCAAACCTGAACTGCTGATCATTAAGCAAGATAGCCTGGGATTTCTGGGGCAAATACTTTAAGGGAGGAAGTCACCTTAGCTACAGAGGTAGGTTGGATGCCATTAACATCCTGTACCACCTCCCTCCATACAGATACTTGGTAAAGATTTTAATTTGTATGAAACTTCTAAAGCAGAATCAAGGCTCCTCCGGCAACAGGGCAAGTCTTCAGTACAAGCAGGATTCCATACGAGCAGTGCCAAAGCATCACCATGGGGTCAAAATTCCCACCATTAAAATGCTGAACAAGCAAGTGAAATTCCCAGGTCTTCAGTGTGGCACAGAAAAAAAGGCTACTGCTTCTTAGAGCATGATCCTTCTTCTATTTATGTATTTTATGTGTATGGGTGCTTTGTCTACATGTATGTATATGTACCATATGTGTGCCTGATGCTCACAGAGTCCAGAAGAGGGCATTAGATCTCCTGTTACTGGAATTACAGACAGCTGTGAGCTGCCATGTGGGTGTTGAAGATGGAACCCAGGTCCTCTGGAAGAGCAGCCCTAAAACACAAAGCCATCTCTCCAGCCCCTGGAGCGCAATTCTTAGAGGGCTTGCCACATGTGTTACCATTTAACACCATATTTCATGGCTATTTGGTCACTGTAGAAAAATCTACACTGTTCAGTTCTAACTCTGTTTCTCAGCTGACTTTGTGAAGTTATTATCTGTAATGAGGCGCCCTGGTTTGCATCTCTGTAGCTGTCATAAACGCCATGGCCAAAGCCAACGTGGAGAAGAGAGGGCTTATCTCATCTTACACACAGTCCATTCATTACCTAAGGAAGCTAAGGCAGGAGCCTGCAGCAGGAGCTTCAGCAGAGTCCATGACAGTCAGAAGACTGCTTACTGGCTTACTATTTTCTCATACAGTCCAGACCCACCTGCCTGGGGATGGCATTTCCCACATGGACCTGGTCCTCCCCCAAAAATTAGCAACTAAAAAAATGGCCCAACAAACTCCAGAGGGAGAGGCAGATGAATCTCCTTCAGTTTGAGGCCAGCTTGTTCTACATCACAAGTTCTAGGACAGCCAGGACTACATGAATAAACTCTGCCTCAAAAACTCAAAAGCAAAAAATAATGCCCCACAGACATGTCCATATGCCAGTCTAATGAAAATAATTTCCCTGCTGAGGTTCTATCTTCCAGGTTTGCATGGATGACCTAAACAGCACGGTGTGTGTTTGGCTTGTAATTTCCTAGGTGTTTGGGGGTTTGAGATTTCGTGCTAAGACTCAGTCGGATGGTTTGGGTTTGATGTCTTTCTGTTGGGCTTTCCAAATACAAAGCCCTGTCAGTTCAAGCTGGCCATAATGGGCAGGAGCAAGCGTCTGACTTGAAATAGCCTGTGCTAACTTTAAATTGGCTTTCAAAAGCAGGATGGTATCACAATAACATGTGAGCTGTGTTTTGTGGGTGCTGTATAGTTTTATTGTCCTTCATCTAAACTTAAGGATTGTGTATGTCTTTGGGGAACAAGCCTGCAAGCTACAAGTCACCACATGAGCAGACTGCACGGTGCACTGCCCTGGCTCTCCCACAGCCTCTGCAGTCTATCACAAGAGCTCAGCCATATCATCCTCCAGAGGACACTTGGTGTTTTGGCTGCAGTGTGACTGGTAGAGTGTACTATAATATGGATCTTCTGCATTTATTTATTTATACGTTTATTTCAGCATTCGTTTATTTATTTATTACTAAACTTCAACCACAGTCTTCTCTCCACCCTACCCCTACCTCTCATTCCCCATGGAACATGCTGTGGGTAGCCATGTATTTTGTATGACTACATTAGAATGTATGAATCTGGTTTTTATTTTTTCATATTGTTTGGTTACTATGATCCAAAAGTTTGCCCGGGGCCTTGAGATGACTTATTGGCTAAAGCACTTGCTCTATGGCAGCAAGCATGAGGACCAAACTTTGGATCTTCAAAACCCATTTAAATTCCAGGTGGGTATAACCTGCACCTGTAATTCCAGTATTAGGAAGGCAGAGACGGGACCCAAAGCAAGATGGCTGGACAGATTGCCTGTATGTTTTAGTTTGTTCTTCTGTTGCTTCACAAAACACTAACAAAAGCAACTAGGGAAGGGGTTGTATTTTAGCAAGAACTCAAGGCAGGCATATGAAGCAGAAACCATGAAGGAACAATGCTTATTGATTTGTACCCTCTGGTCCTCCTGCCTAAGGATAATATCACCCACAGTGGCTTCCACAGATTGCTATATCAATCTGGAATCAAGCAAACACCCCATAGACATACCCACAGGCAATTCTTTCACCTGAGGTTCCTTCTTCCCAAGTAAGTCAGGTTGACAGCTGAAGCTATGATACTGGCTCTAGGATCAACTGAGATACTCTACATGACTGAATCAGGTAGAAAGCAAACCCCAAGACTTCTGATATCAACCTCTGGCTTCCACAATCACATGTGCACATACATAAATACACACACACACACACACACACACACACACACACACACAAAGAAAGGAAGAAAAAAACAAAAGAAGAGTTTACTAGAGTATTAAATAATTGTTTTCATATAGAAAGGGTAACCAGTCATGCTAGTAGCATAATATTGTCTATCTGGTGACTGTATCAATGGAGAATTATACTTCTGAAACTTGGAGACACTGTGAACTTCAGTGAGCAAGTCAGTACAATTTCTAATAATTTTCCCAAGTCCTAAACAAGCGAGAGTTTTCCTGATCAATTGCGGGTAAAGGGGTCAGCTAGAAAGCCCAAGCTTGAGAAGTTTGGGGATGGTAGTATCTTTTCCAAATTCTCTTAATTCTGTATTACTAATTATGCACATTCCATAACACAAACTTTCCTTCATCATTTTTGTTCTAACAATTATTCAGTCGTTTGCCATTCCAATGAGCAGAAAGCCCAAATATGTCTAAAGTCACTAATATCTGAGACCCTAAGACTTTCTCTTCTCAACTCCTTTACCATGGTCAATTTTCTAGCCACCCTGCCCATCAGTGGCACAACAGTTCCCTTGAATGACTCACCTCTGACTGAGCCCTCCGTTTGGTGCCCCCAGTGCTTTACTGAAGAGGCTCCCATCCATCCTTCAGGCAGCAGTCTGGGCTTCACTTCCTCAGAAGGCTCTTCTAAGCCCTCACTTGTATCTGACCTGCAGAACCAGCAGAATCTGGTTTATCCTCTAAAGGTTCTTAACATATGTTTATAATTGCTTATTTAGTTAAACCTCACACCATCTGTGTCTTGTAGCAAGATATTGTGTCTAGCTCATTTTCACATCTTCAACCAAAATAGGATCTCTTGGATGAGTAAATGAATGAAGGAAATGCTGTTCTCACTAGCAGACAGGAGTCCTACAATTCAGGGGCACACTCCACCAACTCCCCTCAATCTTCACCAAATCACAAACTCTGTAGAAGAGAATCTCAAAGTACAGCGTGATCCTGTGTCTTCATAAAGCCAGGTGGCTGGGCTGAGCAACGCCCTCCAGGTCCTGCCAGTGCTGTACTCAATAGCTCCATATGCCAAAGGTTGCAAGGTACATTGGGTTGCTCTAAAACACATGCAAGACAAGCGCCCCTGGGCGCTCTCAGTATGAAGAAGAAGAAAGGCGAACACTCACTATAAATGCAGATTCAAAAAAGCCTCTACTCTTGTTGCAATGGGAAGAAGGGAATTAACTCAAAAGACAAGTTCAGAAACGTGAATGTTTGGTCATATGATGCCCAGCTCTGCCCTCTAAGACCAAAATGTTATTTGGGGGGTGGGGCTGGGGAGAAGGTAGACTTAATTAGGAAGGGGTATGCTCTTTGCTAATTCTAACTTATATATTAATTTTTAGCATAGCTCCCAGTTATCACTCTGGGTATTAATTGGGCCCCTTCCCTTAATGAAGAAACACAGCTGTGTTGTTTGAAGCTTCCCTGGTGCTAACCTCTCTTTCACCTCTGTCACAGATAGGGAAGAGGCATGTTCTCTCTGCTCTAGCAGAGCCTTGGCCGTGTTTTAGCTGGCATGCAAATATAGAGTGTGATCCATCATGTTTTATTTAATAGAGTCGCTGAGAGAAAGGGAAGAGGAAATTGTTGTGAATTAAATGTCCTTGTCTCTTCAGGCAACAAGATAAAAGTTCTGATTGATGGCTGAGATGGCTAGAAACGGAAGTATTAACACAAAACAATGATTTTGTTATATTTCTATTCCCTGGAGTGTTGCAAATGGCAGAGAAAATTTTATTCCCGAAACAGATTAAAGGAGACTTTCTCCCTTACTAGAACAAGAACAATGGTGAAGTCAGGAAGCAGAGGGTGGCGAGCCAGGAAACGGAGCTCAGGAATCTGTCCTCTGTCCTAGCCTTGCTATGCTCCCTTCATGGCCTTGAACAAGTCATTACCATCCAAGACCTAAATTCCTCAAAATTTCAGTTTGCCAGGAAGCAGGATCTAGTCTCTTCCTGGGTTTACACTATAAGATTTCTCCTGAATTAATCCAAGCCCTTGTCCTGAACTAAGTGCCACACTGTTTTCTAGGGATCCTACCCTTCTCTGCTGGCTGGAACCCTGAATAAAAGCAGGAGTTCAGCTAGTGCTGTCATTCTTCTGCAGTGACAGATAGGGAAACTAGTCTACCAAGAATCTTGGTTTGTTTTAAGTCTAGTGCTGGGTGACTCAGCACTAGCAATAGTCGGCTACACAGCCATTTGCCACTGTTAACTTGACCAGAATTGTGTACATAATAAACTACATGGAATGAGTGACAGGGTTTGGTGTTACCTTCTATTTCTACTCCACTATCAAAATGGAGAATCCTTGGTAGAATGTGGATTGTTGAAATTTCTCTGTCCTGGGATGATTTCAAGCCTCCTCCTTCTTGTCTTTCTGAGCCTGTAGTCCTCCCTGAGTCAGTGAACCTCAGTTGATATCATTCCATTTCCCACACTTGTGGTCAGGGACACTGGGTTCTGGCTGTGTGTAGGACTTCAAATACTCATAGAGAGTGTTCAACACTTGGCTTGAGTTGCCCAAGGCTCAGTTTGTACAAATCTTTTTCTTATTCACACTTGTGCACTGTTGAAAACTAACGGATCTTTGATTTTCTCTAGTAGGGTTTATTCTGCAAGCCACACACCCTCAGAAATGGCTCCTGTCATTCAAGTCTGTAGCTCCTTCTCTCTCTGTCTCTCTCTCTGTCTCTCTCTCTCTCTCTCTCTCTCTCTCTCTCTCTCTCTCTCTCTCCTATCTCTATCTGTGTGTGTGTGAGAGAGAGAGAGAGAGAGAGAGAGAGAGAGAGAGAGAGAGAGAGAGAGAAACAGACACAAAGAAACCTCTTCTTTGAAAGCTATCGGTTTCTACATAACCAAAACAATGTTCAATATTGCTCACTGGGCCAGAATTTGCTCAAATTTTTAAATTAAATGCAGTCATTTTTCTTACAAATAAAAAGCAGTCCACCATCAAAGCTCACTTCAGAGGAGATGAGCTCTCTTAAAATATTCTTGTTTTTTATATGGGCTTCATTTTGTTCAGTGTCTTGTGTACAGAAGACAATTAGCATTCTGAAAACTTTAAAGATAATTCTGCTTGAACCACAATGGATGTTGGCTCAGCTATTATTTTGCTCAAATCAATTATTTAACGATTTAATGGTGTAATGTCCACATCACAATACCTCGTCCCTAAACATGCTGATTTTCTCCACAGCCTTAGTGGTTTTGTTTTATTTAAAATTTGTTTCTAGTTACATAAAGTCAAGTGTAGAATGTTGATATCCTAGTGTTATGGGTGAAATCAAATTCTTCTCATTGGTAAAATAACTTTCAGATAATAAACAATGATATCTCACAGGCCCACTAAGGCATAACCATACACACATATAGTGTAAGTAATTCCCTGGCAGAGTAAATTAACAAATGTAACTCAAATGAACTTAACTTGTTAGAGTATAGAGTTAACGAGCCTGAAACATATGAGATTAGTTTAGGATGGTGAACTTGCGCAGGCTCCAAAGCAACACACTGCATACCAAACAGGAGGCAAGTCAGACTGTCACAAGGACAAAAGAGTAGGCAAGTGAGTGGGTGTCCAATCACCATCCTCAGAGAATGACAGCCAGCGATGGACAGGTACATTCAACTGCCATCATAGGTGGATACTATACGGAAATGGGTGGGGCATTTTCAAATGTGTTGACTGAGTTTGGAAGACCCATTTGGACTTTCATTTGTAAGTTTATATTTGTATTAATATTATAGTATTTGTATTAGACTCCTTGTGAATCACTTTAACAAACTTAGGTTTTCATAATAGAGTCTGAAAGTACATTTAGTTAACCTTCACCTTACCTTTCAGTATTTCAGAAAAGAAAAACATATATAATTATTAGACAAAGTCTATCCTACTTAAATCTGTGAGGATGGACCCTTAGTCCTGTTTCTCTAGAGTACCTGTTAAAAAATACTAGCTTCCATGGCTCCTCAAACCAATGCAGATTATTATTTGGATTTGGGGAGTTGAGTAACATTTAGCTGCCATTATTTCTTCCTCTAGAAAATTAGAATAAAGATACCTACCTCACAGAGTAAATTTTCTATGTGCCAGGTTACTTACCGTATTTGTTTCTTATAATTTCAAATGCTTAATTAGTCTCATGATAGAATAAAGTTAGACCTCTACTCTGTAACATAAAAAATAATACTTTGAAGTTTTTAAAGTAATCAAGGCAAAACATCCCTAGCCATAAAATGTAGGAAAAGTATTTTTTTTTATATATTTTATTTTCCAGTTTAAATTTAGATAAGAAACGAGGTTGTTTCACAAGTCAGTTCCGGGTCCCTCTCCCATTCCCGCCCCTCCTCCCGTTCCCTCCCCCCAACCCCCCCCCGTTATCCCCTCATTTCCCCAGGGAGGGTGAGGCCCTCCATGGGGGTGTCCATAGTCTGTCATTTCATATAGGGCAGGGCCTAGACCCTTCCCCAAGAGTTCAGGGTGAGAGTGCACCTCACATTGTTCTATGGGAGTCCAGAGTCCGTGTGTATACTTGGGATGGGTACTGATCTGCTGCCCAAGGCTCAATAGATTCCCTAGGCCTCCTCACTGACACCCAGATTCAGGGGGTCTTGATCAATCCCATGCTGGATTCCCAGGCTGATGCCTGGGATTCAAGAGTTAACCCTTGTCAGGTCAGCTGTTTCTGGGGGTTAAACCAGCCCAGTCTTAATCCCTTTGATCATCAGTCCTCCCTCTCTGTTACTGGCTTTCTTGAGTTCAGCTCAGTACTTAACCAAGGGAGTCTGCCTCTTCTTCGATCAGCCACTAAATGAAGTTTCTGTTTCCCAGACTCTCTGGCCAAAGGATTGTAGGCTGGCACTCCCCAGATCTATGTCTAAAATCCATATATGAGAGAGTACATGCCATGAGGAAAAGTATTTTTTAAAGTCTTGAATAACTTTGTTCAAGAAAGACAGCAAAGCATAAATAATAGTAGATGCATATTCTTAAGTATTAAAGTATGTTTCATACAAAGCCAAGCATTCAAACAAACTGAAGAAAATGTAAAACTGTTTTTAAAAATATGGGAAACATTTGACAAAGTGGTAATGTGCTTAGTCCAGGAGTTAATGAAGACCTCCCAAGGTGGGGGTACTAAGTAAGGAGTACACTCAGGCTACTCACAAAGTAAATGATTCCTCTGTAAATGCCCATGTCACTAAACAAAAAAGGATTAAACGAGCAGTGAGGATGGCATCTGAGGGGGTTGCCAGTGGGGAAGTGTGGGTCTGGGAAAGGAGGAGCAAAGGAGCAGTATGAGGAGCTAGCAAAGTCTGGCATAATTAACCCAGCGGAATACTCCAAGGTCTTCTAGGTATTGATCTGAATGGACCTGAGTATGAGTTTTGTCTTTAAGTCACCTCGAGAAGTTTCTGGCTGTTCTTTGTTTCTTCATCTTTGATTTAAAGTAGAGCATTAAGACTGAATAAAACAGATATTGGTTGGTTTCTCCCCCAGGGTTGTGCCACTATTGCCTAGCATATTTCACAGGCAGGACACCATTGGAAATCAAAGGTTTTTGTAGCTAGTTTTGTGCTTATGTTTCTTTTTGGTATCATTAACACTGTAACACGGGGTTCTGCAG